TCTCTTTGCCCTGGGGGGCAGTTGCTGTCTGCAGGGAACCCATATGATAAGCACTTTTCTCAGGGCTGGGACAGTGCGGGGCAGGAAGGGCCCATAAATGAGCCATCCTGGTTATATCCAGTGTTCTCTCAAGGGCACGGAAACCAAGAAAACCATATTTAAAATTTCGTTTTGGATTTCTTCTTCTTTGACGTCTGCAATGCACACTTTAGGCCACCATGGCACCAGACCCTTGCTGGCTGGCGTCCCTAACCTCCTCTCTTAGCTGTTTTCCTTTGCCAGAGCCCACAGCACCCACTCTCACTCTCCTGACAGCAAACAGTGAACTGTGGCATAATTGAGTGTTTACTCATCTCCCCCACTTACTCTTTTTTTTTTTTTTTTTATGTGTTATTTGAGCTCTTATCTCACTCCTCATTCTGTCACCCGGGCTGCAGTGCAGTGGTGACTGCAACCTCTGCCTCCCAGGTTCAAGTGATTCTCCTGCCTTGGCCTCCTGAGTTGCTGGGATTACAGGTGCCCACCACCACGCCCGGCTAATTTTTGTAATTTCAGTAGAGGTAGGGTTTTACCACATTGGACAGGCTAGTTTCGAACTCCCAACCTCAAGTGATCCACTTGACTCAGCCTCCCATAGTTCTGGGATTTGAGGCGTAAGCCACTTGCCTGGCCTCGCCCACTTACTCTTAAGTACAGAGTTCAGTGAGGGTGGGGACAAGGCCTTGCTTGCTGTAGGAATCCTAGAGCCTAGAACAGTCCTGGGTGCACAAAAGGAGTTCAGTGTAGACTTGGGCTTTGCCATAGCAAGGAACGTCTGCCACAGAGTTTGGTCTAGAAGAGAAATACCTGCTTCTTTTAAAAAGAATGAAAGCAGAGGCCCAGATAGTTCCCCTCTATGGTAGTGGCAGAAATTTCTACTGTGGGCCTGAAACTATTGCCCAGAGATTGTTCTTTTTTCCCAGCCTAACAAAATGCTTTCTACAAAACACACTGACTTTTGAAAGCTAGGTAGCAATAAATTTACACACTGAGAAAGTCCTAAAGCCCTAGTTTAAATAGACTAAAATTAACAAAAGAGTTTACGGTTTAAGAGGGTTGCAATTGTCACATAATAAGATTGAGTGTTTACTGTGTGTCAAGTATTTGTCTAAATGCTTGACATGCATCTATTCAATCCTCAAGACAACCCACTCAGGGAGTCACTCTCATCATTTTCAGTTTTATAGATGAGAGATACAGAGATTATGCGATGTGCCCAAAGTTAAACAGCTAGTAAATGGTAAGGCCTGAATTTAATCAAGAAAAGTTTCAGAGTCTGTACAGTCATCCATCAATCAACGACTCAACAGTCAAAGAACTCACCAAGCTTCCTGCTCCAGCAGGGAACACTTCCAGGTGGTTCCTCCTGGATGAGAATAAGGTACAAACTCCATACTGTGGCATGACAGGCTCTCAACATCTGCCCCCACTGTGGCTCCCCTGCCTGGGGGCTGAACCTCCCTAAGTTCTCTCTGTGCTACTCTCACCGGATACCTTACCCTTCCCTGCAAAATGCTGCAGACTTTCATGCCTTTCTATCGTGCCATTGGCTGTGCCTGGTAAACTCTGACTTTAAATGTTTCCTTCTTTTGCCTCTTCCCCTCCAGGCAGAAATAGCCCCCCCTTGCTCACATTCCCATAGTGGTGAGTGATCTGCACGTACCTCTAACGTATCCTCAGCACATTGCTCTGGAGTTATTGCTGCACCTGTCTATCCCCCTCACTAGGGTGTTAGACTGTAGCCTTCTTCTTCTTCTTTTTTTTTTTTTTTGAGACGGAGTCTCGCTCTTGTTACCCAGGCTGGAGTGCAATGGCGCGATCTCGGCTCACCGCAACCTCCGCCTCCTGGGTTCAGGCAATTCTCCTGCCTCAGCCTCCTGAGTAGCTGGGATTACAGGCATGCACCGCCATGCCCAGCTGATTTTTTGTAGTTTTAGTAGAGACGAGGTTTCACCATGTTGACCAGGATGGTCTCGATCTCTTGACCTCGTGATCCACCCGCCTCGGCCTCCCAAAGTGCTGGGATTACAGGCTTGAGCCACTGCGCCCGGCAATGGTGCAATCTTGGCTCACTGCAACCTCTGCCTCCCGGGTTCAAGTGATTCTCCTGCCTCAGACTCCCAAGTAGCTGGGATACAGGCATGCACCACCACGCCCAGCTAATTTTTGTGCTTTTTAGTAGAGATGGGGTTTCTCCAAATTATCAGGCTGGTCTCGAGCTTCTGACCTCAGGTGATTCGCCTGCCTTGGCCTCCCAAACTGGGATTACAGGTGTGAGCTACTGCGCCCGGCCTTTGACTGTAGGCCTCTTGATGGTCTTGAGGCCAGCTTCATCAGGGAGACGCATCCACTGAAACACCAGTCCAACAACCGAAACGTGAAAGTAATTTATATTTTGTGTAAATCTGGCAAGTAATGGACAGGGGAAAATCCCATTTACAACAGAGTAAACTTTCTCAAGATAGGCATTTGCTATCTCCCAACCTCACAGCAGTTGCCCCTAAATTGATCTCTCTCAACTGGTATGGAGAAGCCAGCTGTGTTCAGGTCTTGCATTTCTTGCCTTGCACACAGCGTCTCTTCTGCTGGATCTTTTATATCTCTTTAGGCCAGCAACATTCAGCCCCTTCCCATGTGAATGCAGCCAGCCTGTCCAGCTTCCTCAGTTCCCAGCTCACCATCAACACCATACTTGTCCAGGTGCAGAAAATGGGTGGGTGGGGGAAGCTGTGGCTGCTAAAGGGTTAATGTTTTCCTCCATCACACCCACCTTTGTGTTCCCGGGAGCTCTTAACTCAGAGCCTGGTATGGGATTGGTGCTCCTGAGAATGACTTATCTTCTCCTCTCCCTCTCCTTCCTTTCAGGCAAAAGCTCAGATGTGTCCAAGGCCTTTCACAACTTGGCCTCCGTGTAAGAGTTCTGGGCCTAAAACAGGCAGCCCCACTGCTCCAAGACCAATTTTCCTGCCTCCTTCCCTACCTCTGCTCCCCCTACTTCTCTCTCCAGGGGGTCCCTTGTCCTCAACACAGAAGTGGAAGTGAGTCCAAACCCTGCCCTTGTTTCAGTCCTTCTTTGCCTGCAATCGTCATTCCCCCTCGCCTTGTCCCTGGGATCACTGCAGGGCCACTGCTCTTGTGATGCTGCTGGAACCATGAACGTGGGCTGGCTTTCTCACAGCGTCTCCAACTGATGTAGTGAATTGCTGCTCTCTTCAACTAGACTGCAAGTTTCTTAACACAAACCAAAACAGCCCAACTCATTTAATTAAAGGACAAGATTAAATCATAACCCCCAACAAGGCATTACTATATTTCAACACATCTTAGATACATTATAAGAACACATCTGACTTCTGAAAAGTTAACATGTGAAAAGAGTGTGTCTTAGATGAAATATGGTGTTATTTCTATCCTGCAGATGCTCAGTAACTGGGACCTAACACCTTTCCAGATCCCCTGGCTAAGTTGCTGCGCCCTGACACCAGGCACGCTCTGCCCTGGGATGTTCGCCTTTTTGGTTCCCTGTATCTGGAATGCTCTTCCTGCATGGCTTGTTCTCTTACCTCCTTCAGGTCTTGGCTCAAACTTCACCTTCTCAGCAAGGCCTTTTTTCACAATGTTTAACATTGCAACACCCCCTCCCCACGTTTCATTCTTTTACATTGATTTTTCTTTATGGCATTTACCAGTCTAACATTCTATTACTTATTTGTTTATTGCAGTTGAACTACTAGAATGTCAGCTCCAGGAGGGCAGGGAATTTGTTTATGGCTGTTGTGCCAGGCACATCACAGGCCATCAATAAGCACAGTTGAGTGAATAGCGTCTGAGCCTTACCAGGCCAAGGATGTGTATGTTTCCTCGCTGCTTGTATCCAGTGCCTAATGCTGGCAAACAACCGGCCCGTAATAAATACCTAGTGACTGGGGATGGATGAGGTGCCTAAGAACCAGGTCGCTTGCTAAGGCCATCAAGGCTAGTAAGGATGAAGAGCAGGAGACCAATTCAGGTGAGGCCTGGGCCTTTTGTCCCTCTGGGCAGGGGCTGCCTGACTTTATTTGGGGGGAGGGACTTTTTTGGAAAAACTTCCCCGTCTTCCCAGTGAACAGTGTAAATGCTTTGCACGTAGTGTGGCTGCAACAAATATTAATAATGTGTTTTAATCCAGCGTGTTATTGCAATTAGGCCACAGCCGCCTGAGCTCCTCAGGGGTAAACCGGCATGCAGGTGTCCGCCGGCCCCTCCGACAAGTAGTGAACAAACAGCACAAAGCGCGCCCGCCGAGCTACAAAGAGCTTTCCCAAAATCCAGGCGGAAGCGCTTTCCTACCATTTGGGCACGTTGACCATGACCCTCCTCCCTTGCCAGACGACCTCTCCCGCCGACCTTCCCTCCTCTAGATGAGGGACAGTAGGGGAGGGAAGCTCTCCGCTTGAGGACCTCCGCTGCGCCGGAGCCGCCGGGAGGGGTCCCTCTCCTGGGTCCCGAGCCCGGTCGGGCGCGCGGGAGCGGGGGGGCGCGCGGTGGCTCCTCGCGGGGATGCGCGCGCGCGCCGGCCTCGCCTCCTCGCCAGATCCGGAGGCTACGTGCTTTCTTTGTCAATGAGACGCCGCTCTGAGCTGCAGTAGCACTCGCGGCCCGGGAGCCGGAGCTGGAGCCGGGACTGGAACCCGAAGCCCAGCGAGGCACGAGGAGCGAGGAGCGAGGAGCTACGAAAGCAGGACGCCGAAGCTGCAGCGGCGGCGGGAGGGAAGGACCCTAGCGCGCCCCGCGGCCGCCACCCGGGTTCCCGGCAGCCTCGCCCCCTAGCTCTGCAGGAGCTGGCCCGGGGGAGGGGGTCCGGGCGGCGTCCGTCCCACCCTCGCCGCCCCGAGCGCGCCGGCGCGCGGCGACAGGCACCGTGGGAACCCCGGCCCGCGCCCGCCGCGGCTCCAAGCGGGCCCGGCCCCTGCGCGGGTGAAGCCGCGGCTCCCCGGAGCCCGCCCCGAGCGCGGCAGGACGAGGGAGCCAGTTGCGCCGCTCGGCACCCCCTCCCTCCGGCGCCCGGGCCGTGGCCGGCGATGCCCGGTGAGGACCGGGGCGCCGAGGGCTGGGCTCCCCGGCGCGGTGCAGAGCGAGGCAGCGGCCTGGATGTGTGAAGCGTCCCCATGGCTCCGCAGGAGGCCAAGCCTCAGGGCTCAAGGGAGGCCGGGCCCGCGGCGCGGGGGCGCAGGGGCCGGCTCGTGGCGCTTGGGCTCGGTCGGGCCGGCTGGGGAGCCGCGCGCTGCACTGGCGTGAGGGGCCCCGGGGCCGTCGCGTCCCACGATGCGCCCCCGCGGCTCCCAACGCTGCTGCTGGGACTCCTGCTGCTGGCAGCCCTCCTGGAACACGGCCAGGCCGACCTGGGTAAGCGCTCGGCGTCGGGGCGTCGGCGGAGGTTTCTGGAGGAGCGGGGCGGCGGGTCGGGACCCACACCTGCCGGGGTGGCGGTGGTTGGAGAGGTCTTGGCAGCACCGGCTCTGGGATTCTCTCCGCCCTTTGCTGCTGCAACAGCAGGCGAACTGTCAGAAATCTGTCTTTCCGGAAGGCACTTTGGGCGGGGAAGAAAAAGAAAAGGTGCAATCGCCTCTTCTTTTTGGACAAGTTGTTGAACCTTCCTAGTGGTCTCGCAGGCGCGCTTGCTTCATTTAGAGAAAGATGTGTGTTGAAAATATCTTAAACGGGAAATGTATTATTAGAACACGTTTTTGGGTGGCGACGTCCCCGGTATTTTGGGCTCCCTGTTGAGTGTCCACTTTGTCTTAACTGCATGAAATGGCTAGAGAGTTTTAGGCAATCCGCCTGTCGGCTTCCCAAATATCAACACAGTTTCCCCTGTGTTGATAGGGGAACCCTTTTCTTTTGGGAAGGAGGTGTTTCTAATAATTGCTTGCACCTTGCAGAGGGATGCAGGCGCTCATCAAGTATACAATCCACTGTTTGCAGGTTAGTTAAAAATAGTCATGCTTGGCTTTTCGACTTCCAGCAATTCTCAGGAAATAGATTTCTGTAATTCCTTGGACAATTTTGAGAAATCTATTGTAAGTATTCTAGATGGGGGTGGATTATTCTGCTAATTCAAAACTTACTCTGTGCAGTCAGCAATTGTCTTGGAAATAAGAATGATTACTGCTGCACTTGGAAAGGGCAGGCTTTTGTGTTTGTTGTGATGAAATTCTGAGCTCTTGATACATTTGACTTATCAAGGAATATAGTTCTCACTTCAGATAATGTGTTCCTGTAGTTTTGTGTTTTTTAGCCAGGACTAATGACCTCTTCTTTCCCAGAGTACCCCCTCCCCCAAATTAGATTAAAATTCCTAATTGTAAGGGGCTGACATTGTTTTAGATAAGAGAGTTTCAGGTTAAAAATATTTCTGATCTTCAGCAGCTTAATTCAGAGCCCATTTTCAATCTTCGATTCACGTAAAGGGTCACTGACAGGAGGTGCTTGTGCTTGCAAGTTACTGTCAAAGAATTTTCCATTGTGATGATAGTGGTTACAAAGTTCATGAATCTTTGGATGTGTGCCTCAGACTTGAGAACAACCTCTGACAAATTTTAGCCCCCGATTTTTATGCCTATATTAGTTTTTAGTGATGTGTATTTGGCATAATTGTTAAAAGGTAAGTCCTGAGAAAGACCCATGTAAATCCCTTGGTATTCATTGGCTCAGAAACATATATCCTGTTTTTGATGAAAGGATATCAAGTCCTTAGTAGTTTTTGTGAACTGCTTATGAGATATTTACTTTGGGATGATGCTCATTTGTTCAGCCATCTGTAACATGTGAAATTGGCTTTCATGTGTTGTTCCTGTTCAGCCTGATGTTGGGCGATTTCCTCGGACCAGTTTTGAATTTCCGATCTCCCTTCTGACCTTTCTACCTTGGGCCTTCTGAACCTCCCTGACTTTCCTTGACTCCTCTTTCAGACCGCCAGAGCCTGACTTAGGGGACTTCTGATCAACATTGTTTGGGTTAGCCCCGGTGTCCTCTTTCTTTTTTCTTTCAATGTGGTGGTCGTGGAGATACAGGGCTGGGAAAGATGCTTTGATTACATGATGGTAAAAATCATCAGTTACAGTTGCTGTTGCTCCCCAAAGTCCTCTCTATCTTTCCCCAACTCATTGGAGTGACTTGTTGCTGCCTCTATGCTTTTTGGATGCCCTTTGTGCTGTCACCCTTTATGACCAGCTTCCCATGGTCCAGCCCACCTGTGGATCCACCCTCTACCTCTGGGCTCCATGGTTTTCTGTGGATTTGCCACTGATTCAATTCCATGGCTTGTGTCTCTCTCAGTGGAAGAGTTAAATACTGCGTTCCCTGTGTGTAACTCTTACCTCCTACCTGCTCTCATTTGTTCTCTGATTTCCATTTGAGGCAGTTTTCACCCCAGGGTAGGTGAGACCTGGGCCTAATGCAGGGCATCCCAAGGGCTTTGTGGGAAGAAGCGGTGTCAGGAGGGAGCTGGGAGAATGAAAGACGCTTTCTGGGGACCTTTGACTTTCGGCAAACAACCTAGTTTGGCACTTTTCTGAGGACTTGCTGTGGTGTGGTGCTGCCGCTCACTGCAGAATGCCTCCGACCCTGAGCTGTCTGAGATCTTACTCAAAGTGCTGGCTTGCTGCAGACCTGTCATTTACATAGCTGCTCTTTCTTGTTGCTTAAGCAAGGCTAAGCCAGACATTTGCCTTGGTTAAAAAATGGGCAAACAGATTTGTTTCTGGAAAATTCTACAGCAATTGTTCAGCACCTTCCCATCCTGGAGACCCTGCCGAGTGTTCCCAGCCCACTTTCACCCACCCCACCTGAACCTCTTTTGCTTGAACATTCTAAAGGAATCAGAGCTTCTTCTCTTTTCCACATAAAGAAAAGGCTGTTGTCATCTTCATTGCCCTCCCTCAGACTCCTAACTTCCATCTCCATCTTCCGTCTTGTTCCCAGCCGTAAGTTCTGTTTTGGATGTGGGAGGTTGTTGTGGGAAAGAAGTTTCTTTGTAGCAGTGAGTGCTGACACCCTCTATTCTCTTTGGCCATCCAGGCTCCAGGCAAAATGGTAGAGCTCAAATTTGACTTCACTGTCTTTTTAATTACTAAGCTTCCATTCAGTTCATATCAGTAAGCATGCACTGTGTGCCTGTTATGTACAGGGATAGCGCTCATCCATGGGCAGCTACTCAATGTGACTGGGTCTCGGTTCTCCCATCTGGAAAATTGGGACAATCATAGTTCCAATCTCATTGGGTTCTTGTGAGGATTACATGGTTAATGCACCTAAAATGTTTAAAAACAGTGCTTGGTATACAGTAAAGGCTTAATAAATGCTACCTGCTCTTTTAAAATGGCAGCAGTAGATGGAACGTTGACCCTGTCTAGGTGCTGTGCAGGGGCAGGGAATACAGAGGCGAATAAGGACAAGGCAGCTTGTAGAAGCCCCTCAAGAAGAGGGCAGTCAAGGTCCTTTCACTCTGTACCACGTGATCAGAGCTCAAGAGGGAACAGTGAATTCTGGGGGAATGGGGGCCTTGAAGGATGAGTAGGGGTTGGCAGTGTTGATGGTGGCATTTCTGGCAGAGGAAAAGTTAAGGGTTATTTGTGGTCCGACCACAGGGCACTGTAGGGAGGAGTCCCCAGCATCCCCTCGCCATGCTGGGGCATCCCCAGGCTGATCTCTGCGGGCTGAAGGGCTCTAAGAGGCTGTGTGTTTCTCTCTCCAACTTCCTAGTTCCTGATTTACCTTCATTTGCCTATTGCCTGTTACAATACCCAGCACAGAATAGGAATTTATTAACTTTTCAGTCTCTAAACTCCTGTTCCACCCTGTTTGGCTGATTCTGTTAGATGTTAGAATACTGTCTCATTTAAATAATTCACAGTAAGTTGTGAATGACTGCTTTATTAAGGGAATATATTTGCATTTCAAGAGAAGGTTTTGCTGATACAAAAGAATTTCTTCTGATTACACTGTCAATTTTAGCGTCAATGCCTTATGGTGATGAGAAGAATGTATATTCTGTTGTTTTGGGGTGGAGAGTTTTGTGGATATCTATCAGGTCTGCTTGGTCCAGAGCGGAGTTCAGGTCCCGAATACTTCTGTTAATTTTCTGTCTTGATGATCTATCTAATATCGTCAGTGGGGTGTTAAAGTGTCCCACTATTATTGTATGTGAGTCTAAGTCTCTTTGCAGGTCTCAAAGAATTTTGTAGGTCTCTAAGAATTTGATGAATCTGGGTGCCCCTGCATTGGGTGCATATGTATTTAGGATACTTAGCTCTTCTTGTTGAATTGATACCAAAGAATTTCTAATTTAAAACACAGTGTGGGGGGAGATAGTTTTGACCTGGGACGTCCTCCATGCGCCTCCTCAACCTCCTTGTACCCGTCATCAACTTGCAGTCGAGTTTAGAACACGTTCAAGGTCATTTGTTCATTCATTCATTCAAAAACAAGCCCTGTTCTCACTGGGATTAGAGAGAATGGGGCTTGTTTTTGTTCATTACTGTTACCTTGGAATATTGAGCCCTGTGCCGTCCAAACTTGACCGTGCTTACCAGTCATTTGAAGATCTTGTTAAAACGTGGATTCTGGCTCCGTAGCTCTGAAATAAGGCCTGAGAGTCTGCATCATTAACAAGCACTTGAGTAATGCTGACGATGCAAATTCAGAGTCCCCATTTTGAGAAAGAAGTGACAATAAGCAAATACCTGTAGGTCGGGTGATGGTAAGTTTGATGGAGAAAAATAAATCAGGGTAGGGGATGGCCCCTTCACACATGTACTTGTCTAGATGGAGTGGTGAGGGGAGGAGGAGATGACATTGAGTAGACCTAACAGTGGAAATCTGAGGGAAATCTGGGGAGAGAATATTCCAGGCTGTGGGGAAAAGCTCAAGGCAAAGGCCTTGAGCTGAGATTGCGTTTGGGTTGTTTGAGGAACAGCAGAAATACCAATGTAGACCTGATTGAGCTAAGGGAGAGTAGTGAGAATGCTGCTGAAGAGAGATGGGGCTGGATCCTATAGGATGAGAGATGGGGCTGGATCCTGTAGGACTTACTGGCCATGGTGATGACTTGGTACTTTAGTTGGAATGAGATGGTCAGCCATCGGAGCATCCAAACAAGAGGTGACATAATCCAACTTCAGTTTTGAAAGAATCCCCCTGGCTGTTGTGGGGAGAAAAGTCTGTAAGGTCAAGTATGGAAGCCAGAGATCAGGAAGGAAGCTGTTGTTGAAATCAATCTGCAGATGAAGATGCTTAGACAGGGTGGTAGTAGAAGTGGTTATCTTTTGAGTATATTTTGAAGATAGAGCAATCAGAATTATCTGGTGGATTAAAAGGGTAGGAGAGAAAGAGAGGAATTGATAGGGCTCCAAGGTCTTTGACTCAAGCACCTTGGAAGATGAAGTTGCCATTAATTGAGCGGGAAGGGTTGCAGGCAGTTCAGGTTTGGGGTAAGGTTCATTTGGGGTATGTAAATCTTGAAATGTTTAATCACGTGGAGATGTCAGGTTGCCAGTTGAACAAAGTGGTCTGGAATTCTAGGGCAACAACAGGTCCTAAGGTATAGATTTGGGAGCCATCAGAATGGAAGTGAATAAGAAACCTGGAGAGTGAGTATGGAGAAGAGGGAGGGAGATCTGAGCAATGCGCCTGGGATTACGGCAGTGTTCAGGGGTTCAGGGAGAAGGGGACCAGCAGGAGATAGAGAAGAAACATAAGGCAGCAGAAAGAGAAGAAAGCATATATGGTATCCTGGGAGCCAAGAGAAGAAAGCGATCAAGGAGGAGGGCGTGATCGTCTTGGACAGATGCTGCTAAGAGTGGAGTTAGATGGTACCAGCAATGCATGTTGGGTTTGGGGATGTGAAGGTGGTTAGTGGCTCTGAGAGTGTTGGGGATAAAAGTCTAACTGCAGAGGGTTCAAGAGAGAAAGGAAAAACAGGTCTTGGAGGCAGCACATAAGACAATTCTTCCAAAGTCTTTTCTCTAGAGAAAGGCAGAGTCATAGGGGAGGTGGGCCATGGGAGGGTTAAAATGAGATGTAATTATTTATGTTCACACTTTCTCATTTTTAAACATGAAAGACATAGGACCAGAGTGTTTGGTTTAGTGTTTCTCCGCCAAATGTAGATGGCCCAATAAAATGTATTTTGAATTTTTACTCTCAATATGACAAGTACTTCAACGATTCTTACAGGATGTCCCAAATCTTGCCTCCCATCTCATTCTTCCCACCCCCACAAAGTAAAGAAGATGATCTTGGGGCCAGAGCACAGGGCACTGTAGGGAGAAGTCCCTGGCACCCTCTTCCTGCCCTGGGGCTTCCTCAGGCCCCCCTTGGGGGGCTGAAGGGTTCTGAGGGACTGGGATACTACAGCATTTGGGGGTTCAGGGAGAAGGGGGACAAGCAAGAGCTAGAGAAAATAAGGAGGTAGGAAGAGAAGAAAGTGTATTAAATATTAAAAGTAGTGTCACTTGTCCTTGGAAAAGTACAGTATTACTCTACTTTTAATACTTGTGTAAACCAGAAGTTAGGTATTCCCTTGCTGACCCACATCCTTCCCTCAAACTGACCACCACCATGGAAACTTCGAGATCTTGAAATTCTGATGACAACTAGAGAATCTCTCAGAAGCTTACTTAGCTCAAGTCTCAAATTACTGGAATATGATCTGAGAATACTCAGAATGAATGTGCACACTTCTCTTTTCATTTTCATTAACCTTCAAGCCTGTATTGTGGTTTTCTTTCTTTTTTTTTTTTTTAGACAAACAAAAACTCCACTCTTCTCCAGACAAAAGTGAATAGTTGGAATGACCTTAAAACATTTTCGTTGCTTGACAACATATTAGAGGGGATTTCTAAACACACAGAGGGACACATTATTCTGGATCATGGGGTGCCTGCCATGGATGGTGACTCCCTCTGGGGACTTCAGGACCAAAGGAGCAGTTAGCAATCTGGGTGTTGTAAATGTCAGTTTTAGGAGCTGGTGGGAAGGTGGCAACTGAGTCATGCTGATGCAGCAGTGTTAATCAAGCACCCAGTGTGTGCCATGCCCTTCACTAGATGTGGGGGGTATAGAGAGAACAGGTCAGGCCTGGACCCTGCCTTCAGGCAGCCTGTAGTCCAGGACAAGAAACTCTTCCCTGGGCAGGTGCAATGACAGGTGGGTAAAGTACGTCCATGAATTGGGTCAGGTTGGGGGATGTGGCAGGACAGCAAGAGCCTGCGTTGCCCGAAGAGGCAGCCACTGCTGAGTGGCAGCCTGCATGGGACTGAGGTTCAGGGTGCCGCAGTTCTGACTTCTCAACAAAAGCCAAGTCTTTATTTAGAATCTTTTTGTTTTTAAATATCGTCAATTAATTCAGATTTCGAAAATGTCATGCAGTACAAAGAGAACACACTCATCAGCTACAGCTTTTTCTTCTTTTTTGAAAGTCATGTTTATTAAGGTGTAATTTACATAGAGAAATTTATCCCTTTGTAGCTGTACTGCATTATGAGTTTTGACAAAAGTGTGCAATCATGCGTCCACCACCACAATCCAGAAATAGAACATTTCTGTCACCCCAAAAAGTTCCCTCCTGCCTCTTGCAGTTAATCCATTCCTCTGACACACCCAGTCCCTGAAAGCCACCAATTAATTTTTCATCCCTGTAGTTTTGCCTTTCCCAGAGGGGTCATAGAAATGGAATTGTACTGTATATAACATTTTGTGTCTGGCTTCTTTCACTTAGCATAATGCTCTTGAAAATTATCCATGTCATTGCATAGATTGCTAATTCCATTCTTTTTATTGCAGAATAGTATTCCGTTGCACCACAGTTTGCTTATTCATTCAGCAGTTGATGAACATCTGGGTTGTTTCCAGTTTATGGCGTGAAAGTCTTTCTGCGGGCAGTTTTCATTCCTTTTGGGTAATGCCTAGGAATGGAATTGCTGGGTCGTGTGTTAGGGATGTGTTTCGCCTTATAAGAGACTGCCAAACTCTTTTTCAAAGTAGCTGTACAGTTTTGCATTCCCATTAGCAATGTATGAGAGTTCTGGTTGTTCCTCTGTATCCTCATTGGCACTTGGTAACGTCAGCCTTTTTTTCCTTTTAATTTAAATGTCAGCCATTCTGATAGTTGTTTAGTGGTATCTCATTCCAGTTTTAGTTTACATTTCTCTAATTACTAATAATTTTATTATTATGTATCTTTTCATGTTCTTGCTTGCCATCTATATCTCTACGTTGAAGTGTCAAGTTATTTTGCCCATTTAAAAAAGTTAGATTGCTTTCTTTTTACTGAGTTTTGAGCTTTCTTTGTATAGCCTGAATACAATTTTTTTTTTAAATCAGATAGGCGTTTTGCAAATATGTTCTCCTGGTCTGTGGCTTGTCTTTTCATTTTATTTATATTTTTTTTTAAAGGAGAGAAGTTTTACATTTAGATTAACTCTATCAACTTTTCAATTGAAGATTTGTGCTTTCTGTGTCCTAGCACAGAAATTGCCTAATGTGTGCCAAGGTCACAAATATCTATGATTTCTTCTAGAAGTTTTGAGTTATTATTTTTACTTTTAGGTCTGTGATCCATTCCATGTTAATATTTGTATATGGTAGAAAGCAAGAGAATCAAGGTTATTTTTTAAAATATGGATATTTGATTGTTCTCGCACCATTTATTGAAGACTATCCTTGCTCTGTGGACTTACCTTGGCACCATGTATGTCTGGGTTTGTTTCTGGATTCCAGTCTGTTCTACTGATCTGTACTTCTCTCTCTTTGCCAGTACAACACTGTCTTGATTTCTCTAGCTCAGCATTTCTTAACATCAGCATTATTAACATTTGAACTCAACGGTTCTTTGTTGTGGACGCCTGTCCTGTGCATTAGAAGTTTAGCAGTATTTCTGACTGCCTGGTAGATGTCAGTAACTCCCCTCATTCTCAGTTGTAACAACCAAAAATGTTTCCAGACATTGCTACATGTCCCGCTGGGGAGTAAAATTGGCTCTGATTGAGTTCCACTGGGTTAGTTCTGTAGTAAGTCTTGAAATCAGATAGTGTGAGTATTCTTTATTCTTTTAAAAAATCTTTTAGGCTATTCTAGGTCTTATGCTTTCTATACAGATTTTAGTGTCTTGTCAATTTCTGTTTAAAAAGCCTGGTAGATTTTTGATTGAAATTTCTTTGAATCTAGACCAATTAGAGATCACTATCTTAACAGTATTGATTTTTAAAAAAATCATGACTATATCCCTCTCCATTTACTTAGGTGTTCTTTGTTTTCTCTCATCAATGTTTTATAGTTTTCAACATGCAAATTTGTACATACTACATTTTTCATGTTTTTCAGTGCTTTGGCAAACAGCAATATAAAATTTTCTTTGTTAGTATATAGAAATATGATTTTAAAAAACCTTATATCATGTTACCCCTTCTAAACTCATTTTAGTTCTAGTAGCTTTTTATAGAATCTTTGGAATTTTTCTAAATAGAAAATCATATTATCTGTGAATAAAGACACTTCTCTTTCTTTCAAATCTGTAAGCCTTTTATTTATTTTTTCTTGCCTTATTGCACTGGCTAGAACTTCTAGTACTTTGCTGAATAGAAATAGGGGTAGTGGACATCCTTGCCTTGATGCTGGCATTGGAGGAAAATATCAGTCTTTCTCTATTAAGTATGATGTTGGCTATAGTTTTGATTTTGTTTCATAGAGGCCCTTTATCAGGATGAAGAAGTTCCTTTCTCTAGCAAATTTGCTGTGGATTTTTTGCACAAATGGTTATCAATTTTGGCAAATGCTTTTTCTGTGTCTATTGAGATGGTCATAGGGGTTTTCTTTAGTTTGTGAAAAAACAACCTTTTACAAACTGAAAAAACAGCTTTTTACAAACGAAAGAAATTCCTGGCCAGGTGCAATGGCTGATGTCTGTAATCTCAGCACTTTGGGAGGCCAAGACAGGCAGATCACCTGAGGTCAGGAGTTTGAGACCAGCCTGGTCAACATGATAAAACCCCGTCTCTACTAAAATTATAAAAATTAGCCAGGTATGGTGGTGCATGCCTGTAGTCCTAGCTACTTGGGAGGCCGAAGCATGAGAATCGTTTGAACCCAGGAGGCAGAGGTTACAGTGAGCCAGGATTGCATCACTGCACTCCAGCCTTGGTGACAGAGCAAGACTCTGTCTCAAAAATAAAAAATAAGTAAAATAAAATAATAGAGAATTATTTCCACTTCTGCTTTATAGATGTGATTGTGTAGAACTATTTCTCCTTTAAGGCCCATGGGCTTACAGATGATATTGAAGATCCCGTAAGAATTTCTTTAGTAAAATAAAAACTATCAGTTACCTCTAGTTCATTTTCTCATTCTCTTTTTTTTGTTTTGTTTTGTTTTAAGATGGAGTCTTGCCCTGTTGCCCAAGCTGGAGTGCAGTGGCACAACTTTGGCTCACTGCAACCTCCACCTCCTAGGTTCAAGTAATTCTCCTGCCTCAGCCTCCCGAGTAGCCAGGACTACAGGCATGCACCATCATCCCTGGCTAATTTTTGTATTTTTAGTAGAGATGGGGTTTCACCGTGTTGGCCAGGCTGGTCTTGAACTCCTGACCTCAGGTGATCCGCCTACCTTGGCCTCCTGAAGTGGTGGAATTACAGATGTGAACTACCATGCCTGGCCCATTTTCACCTTCTCAGAGCTATCAGCAGACACTACTTTGGTTTAAGGTCTAGGAAAACAGCCTGGGTGAGGGAAAATTGCATCGGATGCGTTCGGGAGACTGAGGTCACTCCTGGCTGTTATTTTATCAAATTATTTCACTTTTCAGGGCTTTTGTTTTCTCATCTATGGATAAGAGCCTCAAGATCTTCCCTTCTTCCCCTATCCCCTGTCTGTGTCTTCATGAACCATAAGCAGATGTTTTGGTGGAGTTCCACCATCTGCATTTCCTGCTTGTTCCTGCATTAGCAGCCAAGCCTAGCCAAGGATTTTCATTCTGAAAAGAGAAGAGTTTTCCCACAGCTTGCTGTCATAGTTCCAGTGTGAGGCGCAGATAAATATAGGCGTATCTTCAATCTTCATTGGCTTTAAAACAATTATGAAAGTAATATATACTTTATAAAATTCAAGCAATACTGAATGAAGTAGGTACAGTAAAATGCAAAGGGCCCTGTTGGCCTTGTGTATTAGTCCACTCTCACGCTAATGTAAAGGACTGCCCGAGACTGAGTAATATGTAAATGAAAGAAGTTTAATTGACTCATAGTTAGTTCCACATGGCTTGGGGGGCCTCAGGAAAGTTACAATTATGACGGAAGGGGAAGCAAACACATCCTTCTTCACATTATGGCCGGAAAGAGAAGTGCCGAGTGAGGTGGGGAGATGCCTTATAAAACCATCAGACCTTGTGAGAACTCACTATCACAAGACTGGCATGGGGGTAACTGTCCCCATGATTCACTTACTTCCCACCGAGTCCCTTCCACGATACGTGGGGATTATGGGAACTACAATTCAAGGTGTGATTTGGGTGGAGACACAGCCAAACCATATCACCTTGCTATTCCCTAGAGTTGTGCTGTTAAGCAAGTATGATGGATCCTTCCAGACCTCTTCATACAAATATTTATATCCATAGATGTAGCCTCACTTTTTTTTTTTTGAGATGGAG